GTTTTCTGAATTACGTTATATGCATGTTATTTTTTTATTTTTTTATTTTTGTTGGGATTTATAATTTCATTTATATTGTGTCATTCCCGACTTTTCACATTTAAATAGCAGCAGCTTAAATCCCAAAAGGTGAGAGAAAAAAATTTGTTAGTGGAACGAACACAGGGCACAATATTTTACAACGAGGCGGGATTAGACATGAAAATCCAACCCGTTGCGAGTTGCGGAGCGTGCATGAACTTGACAAAAATTAAATGGGGCGGGATGGCATTTAGGGATACCCGTCCCGTTGCCATCCCTAAGTGCTTGGTTAACAAGTGTTTTGGCAATCAAAATTTAGTGACGAAAATATCCCTAGAGGAGCACATGCCAAATAAGTTAAGATTTTATGGTCATAAAGGTAATTTAACCATTTCACAAATTCTTAATTGTTCATTGACATAAGTAGGACAAAGTGGTAACTTTATAATCCTATTGAGATTTTTATAAATAAATTAAAATTTTATGATAAAAAAAGTACCGAGGATTTTATGATTTAAGCCTATATATTAACGAAAAGTAGGAGAAATACAAAAGACTAGAAAGTGTATATTAATTGTAGAAAAAAGAGATTGGATGAGAACTTTTGATAATTAGACGTAAAGAAGGATGATGATGAATGATACAATGAGGTGAGGTGCAAGGTATGGCGCGTGCGACATCCGCCAATTTATTTATTGGGTACAAAAAAAATTCGCCGTCAACGAGGCACCAAAAAAGCTTGGAAGCCAGTACCCCGCCTCCACTGCTTTTTCAAAGCCGACTCGCGTTTGCTTTGCAGACCCGGCCCCCTCACCCATCTCATATCTTTCTCTCTCTCTGTATCCCACCGGAATCTCATTTTCCGACCAAATTTCTCATTTCTCTCTCTACACTAGTCAATTATATATACTGCATATTCTCTCTCCTCTATATAAACATGCGTCAGATCTCCAACCGAGAAAAAGAAGCCACCAGCAAGGAAACGCACTGAAAGCTTTGCAGAGACACCACAACACACACATACATACTGACCCCTCTCTCTCACCGTATGGAATCTATCACCTTTGCTGTTATTTCAATAGTCTATTCTTTGTGTTTTCATTGTTTTTCAAAATCAAAAAGATATTGTTTTCTCAAATGCACGCTCTCATATCTATACTATATATATTATATACTATGTAGCTAGCTCGTCTCCAAAGCACTTATTTTTCTTGTGTTTAAAGTCCCTTTTCTTAAAGCCTGTGACAGACTAAGTGCTTCTGGATGCAGACTAACATTGTTTACTCTAATCACCGGACCATATGCGTTCCCAACACATATACCACCACATTTTTTTACTTGTTACGAGAACTACTCTTTATACCTCCACAGCATGTTTCGTGCTTCGTTTCACGAACACATTCTTTGTTTTTGTTTTTTTCCATCAACACTAATTACTTGAGAGATTAGTTCAACATTCACACATTTTGACATGTTCATCAGGTCTGTTTCACGTGCTAACTAGTTCCTTCTTGATTTGTAGTTGTTTATGCTTTCTTAAAATGTTTTGATTGTTTTAATTAATTTTCTGAAACAAATTAATTGGAGCGTTGGAGAGGTTACATATATCACTGTTTGCTCTTCAAATTCACATTTATGTCCGATGAAGGATCGGTTTGCTTCTCACTCTTTATTACGTCTTTTTTCTGTGCTTTTAATATGTTCAAACTTCAAAGTCAAAACCATTCAGACTTAATTTCATATATATATATATATGTATATATATATATATATATATACACTTCATTCCATATATGCTTGCCACTACAGATCCTCGAAAGCTATTCCCTATCTCCTTTAGATCTTCTCTTTAATTTTCATCCTCTTACATTTCACGGCTGTTTATTGCTTCATTTAATTTCTTTAATAAATATAAAAATATGTATGTATGTGTATCAGCGTATATATACATAATAACCAGACGATTTTGAAGAGAAATTAATTCAGTAAATTACCTCACCTCACACGTGGCTCGATCTCAGATTCAGATCTTCTGATTCTGTGTCTAAGCCGCATTACAGTCGAGATCTACTGAATATAGGCTTTCTATCCTATCAGTTCTTGAATATATACATATGCCTATATATATATATATATGTATGTATGTATAGGTTTAAAGTAGTGTATTAATGTTAGTATACAGTGTTGATTTCAGAGAGTCTGCGAGTAGGTAAGCCGAAGTTTCAGTTAATGGAAGGAGAGGGAGTGCATTGAAGGAAGGGGAAGAGAAAAGCAGAGCAGAGCAGAGCAGTGTGTTTAATGATCGGTAGCGAATAATAGAAAGTGTAAATCGCAAGGTTTGTTCTTTCTCTCACTATGCACCTCAAAACTGTTGTTTTCCAGCATGCTACGTGTCGGCGTCTTTAATTCAAACTTCTACTTTCTTTGAAGGAGCAACTTTATCTTGTTTCTCTCTCTAAAACTAAATCTCTGCTATTTTTTTTTTTCCCTTGTTTTATTTCTCTCTCTAAATCTACATATCTCATCATTGCGGGTGTGCCGTAGTGTAGTCTAGTCCTTGGCGTTTCGCTCTCAACCATATCTTGTACAGAGGAGAATTACAGATATTCTTTATTTCTGTCTTTGTTGCATTTATTGACTCGCACTGTTACACGTGATGGGTAGTTGTCAATATATAGCAGTACTTGTTTATATGTATATATATGTGTGTGTATATATATATATTACAGTAATAAGAGATCATAAAGAGCTTGCTTCTGCGTGCTTGCTTGTGAGTCTGACTTTTGCGTGCTAGTCTGTTTTTATTTAGGTTGTGCTAGAATAGGCTTTCCTTTTTGTTCATGTTTGCCTTTCTTTTTCGGAATTTTCTGTTTTGTGTCTTGTGGATTTTGTTCATGCTAACTTCACCTACTTGTGGTTTTTCCAGCATGCTCATGTCATCGTAGGATTGCTCTTAGTATTTTAAGAAATGTATATGATGAACTTTCAACTACTGCACTCCATTTTTGTCCCACTAAATTTATATTTCAATATAGTTTTATACTTAATAATTAACTCTTTTTGTCCGTTAAGAAAGTATTTTATTTTGAAAAGGTTAACAATATACCATATCTTCTAAATTTCATATATTTGGGGGAAAAAAAAAGACCAAGGACGATAATAATTAATATTTTTTTATTCTTCTTTCTGTGTAATTTCATATTCTATGAATAATGCTTTTTCTCTCTGTAATTTTTTTGTTTTTGTAAGTTAAATAATGGAGGATTTGTCGTATCATTATACATTTTTTTTCACTCTTTTCTAACTTGTCTATATTGTTTACTTTACAATCTAAGATAAAAATTAATTGGGCTAATGGTAATGATTCTCACATCACATATTTGGAGGTGGAGAGTTCAAATCCCTTTGAAGATGCCTCAAGAAATTTTATGAAATATTTTTGAAAAAAAAAGAGAAGAAATTTTACAAATAATTACTCGGCCGTGAATTATAAAGGGTGCTTAAGATGCACGACACAGAAAAAATATATATATATATTTGGCACAGTGTTATGAATACATTTGGTCAGTTCCACTTTTTTCTTGACTGGATATCCATTTAAAATTCAGTTTTAAAAATTATTTATTTATGGTAATTAACTTTTGAGTCTTGACTTAGGCTGTGTTGACAGTAGGACCGCATTATAATGTTGGTTGAAAAGTTAGACATGAATGGCGTGAATGAAATGAGTCATCACAATACAGGGTTTCCATAGTGTAAATAGCAACTTCTACTTAATATTGTACTGGAACCCTACAGTTTGTGGTATTGCACAATTGGATATAGGTGTACATAGAACAAAATTAAGCTAGCAGTGTTTCGTCGTTTTCACCCCTTTATTGGTGAATGGGATGATTGCTTGTTTGGGCCTTGAGGGGCTGCCCAAAGCCACAGCCCACGGGACAGAAACAGAACAGTACCTACAGACACTTTGGATTTATATATAGAGAGAGACTGACATTTTTCAACTAGGATTTTAATTCACAGACTGTTTGTACTAGTAAAATTTTTGTCTACCACCCTGTATTGTTATTTTCTTCTCGGGCGGGATGTTTGCAAATTGAAACCCATTATTATCCTCGTCTTTTCCCTTTAGCCTTTTTAGGTCATTTAACTTTGACTAGCATGTATTAGGGTTTGGGTGTCTTCAGAACCCAAATTCTAGCACTTCTTTTTTATATTCATATTCAGACCCTTGGAAAGGCCTTCTAAATTGATTGATGGGCATTCCAGGTTAGGGAGAGAGAAGTACTTTTGTTGTCAAAACATTGTCCTTTTTATTATTTTTATTTCTTTTTATTTGGTATCATTGTTTGCCGGGCCAACGTGGGTCCATATGGGTGAAGCATAGGTCATAGCCTAGCCTATTTCCTTTGGTAATACCTCCAACCTGGATCCTGATTCACCTTTGACCGTTGTGCAAACGATAGGGACCCATTAGTCAACCACGAAGAAGAGCAGTTGACACATTAGCCAGTGATTAATATAATCTGTGGCCTATATTTGCCTGACAAGGACCGGACCGTCCAAATTCCTAGTCTGAAGAAAGGCCAAATGGTAAAGTTTGCTTGCAGGGAATCCACATATTATCCCATCTCAAAGGAATGAAAAACCTGATTGTGCTTCAAATCTTGTTAATCATTCCAATTTTTTCCTTTCCTATATATGTATATTGGGGATATCATACGCACCCATATTGTCCAATTGTAGACTTAACTCTATATAACAATTTGTTTTTGAAGGAAGATGTGATATCGATTGGAGACTCAAACCATCAATCTTTGGTTTGAAAGGAAGATGTGATATCAATTGGACTTAGCCTTGAGGGAATATCTCATGGTTGCTAGGATAAGGTTGTTATGTTGAGGTGGTGTCCTACCAAAATTGAGGTATGAGTATATACAAAGTATTAGTAAATGCTCTCTACCACTACTGACATCTGTAGGAATTAAAGTATAGCAAAGCTGAAGCACACTGTCCGGCTTTTGGTGAACAGAGTTAAACTGTAGACCACACTAATTATGACACAGCACTGCTTGGCCACTAAAGGTTATGGAAACACTAGATGCTGGTTTTGTTTGAACCAATCTTACATTGCCACACTAAACCTAACGGTTTTGCTTGAGGGGGTTAATTTCCAAATTTACTGTGTTGTCTAGTTCTGTTATGTCTGGAGTAGCTGAGCTTTGGGATGAGTTAAAGCCCCCTATCTGTTGCTCAAAAGGGTAAAACAAAGCTGCCCTGCCCTGACCTGACCTGGGAAGGTCATCCCTATAAATGATTTATGGGACCCTGACTTATGATATCATCCTTATAAATGTTGAGTTTGCTTAGGATTAAGATGGATTTTGTTGAATAATGAAAAGATTCCACTACAAACAGCCTCATCCCTCTAGCATGATTGTTTCTCAAATTATAAATGTCTTTGTTCTACTTTTTCTTTTTCTTAATATCTTAGTATATTTTAGTTTCAATATTTGTAGTAGTCCTGAGACAAGTATGTTACTGAAGAGCAGGAGGTTTAAACATCTCATTCACCATCTTGCTTATCCAGAACTTAGAATTCAAAATGAGAAATTGTGATTCTGTTCTGCAGCCTGTATGATCATCTAGCTTCAGCACTTTCTTGTTATCCTTACGGTATGCTATACGTTTTTGGTTTACAAACAATAGATAGATCAGCGGAAATACTATAAAAAATGATACAACAGGAAACATGATATGTAACAGAATAAATTTTAATAGAAAAGTTACATGGAACTAAAATTTCTTTGGTCTGAGTTTTACATGGAATTAATTTTCTTAGTATTTTTGCCATGTAGGTTCATGCTTCTTAACAGTTTTTTTCTTTTTTTTGCCAAGCTTCTTAACAGTTCATGTGACTATGGAAGATGCAAATATAAACCAGTGATATGGTTGCACATACGTGGTTCTTTATGTTTATAAATACACGTGTAAACCTTTTACCTTTTTAAATTTGGGTAAATTCTGGTTTCACTTTGCCCCGGTCCACGTTTCTTACGTTTTGCTTGAACTTTTCTGACAATAGCAATACTGAAAAGGAAAAATTACTATTGAGATCTGATTCTCTATTATTCTTTTTGCTTCTTTTTGTCCCGTAGCCTATATCATCTAAGATTCTCGAAGTACACATGAAAAAAATGCCATGGCATCTCCTTTCAACACTCCCTTTGAAGATATACCATTGTCATGAGTAACTCCTTTTGTTGACTCTGTGTGCGTGTGTGTTTCCCCATAAATTATTGCACTGCATCACTTAAAATGTCTTGAAGTCCTGCTAAAAGTTTCTTGAATGACTTGTATGAAGGTCCCACCTTGAACTACAAAAATGCCTCACTGGCAGAAAAAAGACCCTGAACAGAAGCATATGATCTCGAGGAAACCTCTTCGGGACTCCATGAATCAGCATTCACAATCCCAAATATCAAATGGTTGCTGGGATATCTCAGAAATAGCAAAAAAGAGTGAAGGAAGGAGAAAGGGACGAAGAAGAGGGAAAGGGACAAATGTGGGAAGGTTGCAGGATACAAAGCTTGAGCTCAGTGTCGGATTTCCGGCTTCGTCAAACAAAAGTCTCATGTTCCACCGCAGGCCTGGCTTTGGCCAATTGGGTACCAAGTGCTTGGTGAAAGCCAATCATTTTCTTGCAAAGATATCAGAAGAGCACCTAACTCAGTATAGTGTAAGTTGTCTTTGTGTCTCGACTGTGGATATTTTTCCTCCCTTCTTTTACAATGATTGAGCTTATTACTATTGCTTTTCTATTCATGTATTTTCTATTGTTTTATTTTTTAATTTCTTTTTTTTTTTTTTTTTTTTCCTTTCTTTGGTTCAGGTTACAATAACCCCTGAAGTTACTTCCACTAAAATTAACAAAGCTATCATAAGCCACTTAGTGAAACTTTATAGAGATAGTGAATTGGGGATGATGCTCCCTGTTTATGATGGTAGAAGAGCCCTTTACACAGCTGGAATTCTGCCTTTTACCGCAAAAGAATTCTCTGTAACTTTGGACAATGACAATGAGTGGAATGGCATCACAAAGTATGCAGTCAACTGCCCTCCATTAATCTTGTTTCATATTATGTTGGGCTTATTATTTACTCTCTGGGACTTATGATTTTAATCAAGTTTCAACTATTTATGTCAGGGCACGAGAATTTAAAGTGACAATAAATTTTGTAGCTCATGCTAATATGCTTCAATTACGTGAACTTCTTTCTGGGAAACAAGTTGATACCCCTCAAGAAGCGATTAAGATCATGGATATTGTGTTAAGTGAACTTGCAGCACAAAGGTGAACATTCAGTTGTTTCAATTTCTTTGCATTATTGCCTTTTATTTTTGGATTTTAAATTGTTTGTAATCCTTCAATCTGGATAAGTCTAGGTATTTATCAGTTGGGAGATTCTTCTACTCTCCTAAAATTAAGCCACCACAGCGACTGGGTAACGGCATACAATCGTGGCGTGGCTTCTACCAGAGTATAAGACCTACACAGATGGGATTGTCACTGAATATCGGTGGGGATCAATATTGGACTTCATCTATATTTTGTTCTGTCCTCTGAAAATGGTATTATGTGCTCATCTTAATATATAAGACAATGCTTCTCTTTTTTTCCTTGCTGTTCAGACATGTCCTCAACTGCATTTATCGAACCACTCCCTGTTGTTGATTTTGTTGCTCAAGTTTTGGGTAAAGATGTATGCTCAAGACCACTGTCAGATGCAGATCGTATTAAGGTACACTATTCTACAATTTAGATACTGAGTTATATTATTCTTCACTTTAATCAGTTCTCTTCGCAATAAGTTTCATTTTATCTTGCAAACACACAATCATACACATCTAATAAATTGAGGAAACAGGTCCTACATAATTGACTCGGCGTATTGCGATAGAGCACTGGATGATTATGATGATGGTGCTGTTGGTGATGTCATGACGATTACATATTTAGTTTTTGCAACTTCTTCGTGCAATTTTTCATTTTGCATTGGACAGCCACAAAATCACATCCATAATTGTACAAGGAATGATAAAATTAATAGTTGGTGATAGTAGTGCGGTATTTCTGTGCCTGTCCATATGCAGGAAGCTGAGTTAATACGATTAATCTTAAGACCGCATTCCCACATTTAAAATGTCAAGGGAGAAAGCGTTTTCGATCTTATTTTATTTCAATTTCTTTTATAATGCTACTGCTACATGAAAACCAAGTTATGCTTCTATATATAGTGTAACATTTTTATTCGATTTATAGGACACATTTGGAACATGGGCTGGGTCTAGAGACCCATGTATCAACCAGAGCAAGACTAATCCAAAACCTAATAGTTTTCCTCTACAAACAATTGAATTGATGGTATCTAGAACATTTTGGACAGTTGATTAGCTTCACTGTTACTCTAAAATGCAGATCTCATTATATCTGCTGATGAAGGTAGAAAGCTATTAGTCAATAATGCCTAATGAAAAGTTCTGTCAATGTTGAGCAGGTTAAAAAATCCCTTAGAGGTGTCAAAGTGGAAGTTACACATAGGGGAAATATGCGAAGGAAATACCGGATTTCAGGGTTGACATCACAGCCAACGAGGGAACTAGTGTACATATCTTGCATTTGGCCTTGGTTTTGTTATTCTTGCTTCATTTTTTATTTTTTATTTGTCCTCATGCTAGTTATGTTTTGATTTCTTCTCCTTCCTACAGTTTCCCGGTTGATGAGGAAAAGAACATGAAATCAGTTGTTGAGTATTTCCAAGAGATGTATGGATTTACCATTCAACATTCCCATCTACCTTGCCTACAAGTAGGAAATCAACGGAAAGTCAATTATTTACCGATGGAGGTAAAACTCTGATCAGTATTTCAACTTCATGTGTGCAGAAATTTAGTTTGCTTTACCAATTTTATAAGGCTTCAAATGATATTCAGGCCTGCAAGATAGTTGAGGGACAGAGATACACAAAAAGGCTGAATGAAAAGCAGATAACTTCTTTGTTAAAATTTTCATGCCAAAGACCTCGTGACCAGGAAATGGATATTTTGCAGGTTTGCATCTTCAATTATTGGATTATTGTTGCTTCTTTGATAAATTAAATGTGTGAAAGTTTAAGCTAAATAATTAAATCTAAAACACTTTATATTACGTGACTGCTTGATGTTACTAGAACCTTGAGAAATTTTCTTATTTTTATCCCCTTCGTAACTTTATGCTCATTCACTGTTTTCAACACGAAAAACTATAATTAGAAAATAATAATAATAAAAAATTTTACTTTATCTGTAAACTATATATAATCATTGTTCGTAACTCAGAAAAGGTGTTAGATATTAAAGCATAAACAGATGGCCGTCACACTAATAGTTATCTCATATCTCATCAGACGATTCAGGAGAATACATATAATCAAGATCCCTATGCGAAGGAGTTTGGCATAACTGTAGATGACAAGCTTGCATCAGTTGAGGCTCGAGTTCTTCCAGCCCCATGGGTAATGATTTTTTTTTTCTTTCTTCTCATGTCATTCATCCTTGCTCTACTAATATTTTGTTTCCAATAGCTCAAATACCATGATAGTGGAAAAGAAAAGGAATATTTACCTCAACTTGGTCAGTGGAATATGATGAATAAGGTAGTGTAATATCTGTTCATGGAATATGTTAAAATTTCACAACTAGTTGACATCTTAGGTATTATGTGCAAGTTGCTTGTATAAAAGAAATCTTCTTGTCACAATGCAGAAAGTGGTAAATGGGAGCTCCGTAAATCACTGGGCTTGTATCAACTTCTCGCGAAATGTCCAAGACAGCACAGCTCGTGACTTTTGTCATCAATTAGTCCAGATGTGCCGAGTCTCTGGAATGGTAAAATTTCCTAATCTCAAACTGCAGCAGGTTTTGACTAATTTTATGTCAGTTTCATGGTCATCATTATGTCCTGATGGAACCATTGTAAGATTTGTCCACGTGGTTTTCTAAGCTATAGAATCATGCTGATAATGTTATGTTGATATTTGATTTAAGGAATTCAACTGCGAGCCTGTGATTCCAATCTATTCTGCTAGACCAGAACAAGTAAAGAAGGCTTTGAGATATGTGTATAATGCTGCTGCAAACAAACTTGGAGGGAAAGAATTGGAGTTACTTATTGCCATTCTTCCAGACAACAACGGATCTCTGTATGGTATGTGGATATCTGTTACTATTCAAATCCACTCAAGATGATCATATGTACTATGTTGGGCACCGCCAATACATCTGAATAATATGATTGGTATCACATTTCTGTGGTTATTTCTCTGCGTCTCACTTTCTCGTACATCTTATATCATTAAATAATTTATAATAAATTACTTTTGTGTAAGAAAAAATTCATTTTTTTTTTCTACTGCAATTTTATTTTAATTCTTAAAAAACTGAAATATATTTGCATCTAAGCTGCCACTTGTTTATTTTCTTCACTTCTATGTTTCATAAGAAAGAAACTGTGGAGCTTCATTTAGGATTATTTCAACAAGCTGGTCATGCACTACTGTATGTACTCTACTTATTATACACAACATGCTCCCTATTCAGGTGATCTGAAACGAATGTGTGAGACAGATCTGGGGTTGATTTCTCAATGCTGTCTTACTAAGCATGTCTTCAAGATTAGCAGACAATACCTGGCAAATGTGTCACTGAAAATTAATGTCAAGGTATTTTTAAAGCTAAATTGTTATCATTTTACTTCTCATGGGATAAATTTTTCCCTTTCCTTCAATCTAAGCTTGAATTTGCGGTTCTTCTTCAGATGGGAGGAAGAAATACTGTGCTTTTAGATGCCTTACGTTGGCGAATTCCTTTGGTAAGTGACATTCCAACAATAATCTTTGGAGCTGATGTGACTCATCCAGAGACTGGAGAAGACTGTAGTCCATCGATTGCTGCTGTAAGAAAACTAAAGCCTGTGTTACCTGAGAGCTGTTAATAAGTTCTGGGTTTGAGCCCATACTGACTACTTTGTTCAGGTTGTAGCCTCTCAAGACTGGCCAGAAGTTACGAAGTATGCTGGTTTGGTATGTGCTCAGCCCCATCGACAAGAACTTATTCATGATTTGTTCAAAACCTGGCAAGATCCTCAACAGGGTACAGTTACTGGAGGCATGATCAGGTACATACCTAAGACAACTTCAAAATTTGGCATGAATTTGGTGTTGTGTTCATTTCTTTTATAACTTCATTATGTCTAGCAATGAGAAGTGAAGTGCTCTAGTACTTGAATAAGAAACAACTGATAGTGCAAAGTTTTTGAAATAGTCTTAGCCGATAGTTTAAGATATCAAAGGTATTATAACAAGTCTGTTGACCCACTTTAATTTTTGAGTGAATTTATTTTCAACACCTCTGTGCAGGAGAATATTTCCTTCCAAGTAAAACATTTTCTCAAAGAAATGCTTTCTTAATTGGAAATGTGTGTTGCTAGAGACTACTGTGTATAACTATATATATAGGCCCTCTTGTATATTCAATAGTGCACATAAGTAGATGAAAAAGTGGATTGTGTATATATCATCGCATGTTTTTTGATGATCCAACATGACCATTGGAGGTTTACTACTGCAGAGAACTTTTACTATCCTTCAAGAAAGCCACTGGACAAAGACCTTTGAGGATAATATTTTACAGGTACTCTAATTTGATTTTACATTAGGAGTTCCTTCCTGCACTTGTTCATTTTTTTTCTAAGTTGTGGGTAATATATTGTTTTATCAAGATAGTACAGGGGTTATAAAGGATCAAGTATTTGCACAGATGCTCCTTTTTCCTCCTGATGTGATTTGTTGTCCCTGTAGGGATGGTGTCAGTGATGGGCAATTCTACCAGGTTCTGCTATATGAGCTGGATGCAATTCGAAAGGTTAGTTGATACCTGATTAAACTGAGAGCATTTATCAATCATGATTTCCATGACCTTACATTCTGGTTGTGTCTATAGGCTTGTGCATCACTGGAACCTAGCTACCAACCTCCGGTAACATTCATAATTGTCCAAAAGCGTCACCACACTCGACTCTTTGCAAACAACCACAATGACAGAAGCAGCATTGACAAGAGTGGGAATATCTTACCTGGTAAATATTTTTTCTTAATGGTAACAGCTGAAATTTGCTTCTTAATGAATAAAGCAAAAGGAGTTCTTAGTTCCTTGTCAAGGAGCTAGCCAGCTCATCAATAAGTTTTGGCTTGACCAATGCATAGAAGAGACAAATTATTTAAGCACTCAAATGCTTTGTGCCAGGGCTCAGAGAGATTTTTTGAGCAAGCTAGCTAGCTAGCTAGTTTTCTCCTCTGGTCGTGCAATTGCTACTCTTGAATAAATTTGTGTTATGAGTTTGAAGTTTTCAATTGCAGGCACTGTGGTGGATACTGAAATTTGTCATCCTACTGAGTTTGACTTCTATCTATGCAGTCATGCAGGAATCCAGGTATGCCATTGACCTTATTCTTAATACGCTCACAAAGTACGTAAAAATTAACTAATATTTTTAAGACTTGAAGTTTATCGTTGTAGGGTATTCACAAGTTAAGAATACTCCACTAGACAAATAAAAAAAAAAAGTTACACTTCATAACACAACTTCAAAGAAGTTTTGACCATGTGAAGATGGTTTGATGTAATGCTTAGTGTCAATCATTATTTCACAATTTGTGTAAAGGCCTAGCATGCCAAATTATTAGTATATACTTCACGATATTCACAAGTTACACATACGACTCTACAAAGCCTTTCCCCAACATTCCCAAGTTCCATATATTAGATTAAAAATGAACTAGACTATGTAACATTACTTCAAACAAGTTTCAAGCATGTCTTCATGGTTTGATATAAATGCCTAGCATATAAAACATTAGTATATGTTGGAATTGACATTTTGCAGGGGACCAGTCGACCGGCTCATTATCATGTTCTCTGGGATGAGAACAATTTTACCGCAGATGAGATCCAGTCTCTGACAAACAACCTCTGTTATACGTAAGAAATTTGCTTTCCTCCTTACTCTTGGCACTTATTCTAATTTTTCAGTGATTAATTTGACTATTGATATAATTCCAGGTATGCTCGGTGCACAAGATCTGTTTCTGTAGGTAAGCTTTTGACTCATCTCTTGTATATTTGTATTATGCACATACTAAAATCTATATTGCAATTTGTGTTTTATCACGTGGATTGGATGCTGTCATTAATTTGTATTCCCATCAATAATTCTGTTATATTTAATCTTATTTTCTAAATTTCTACAAATAAATTACAAAATTAATTCTGTTCATGAGTCATTTTTTGGTTCAGTATATGTGCTTTTATTTTTATATTTTCATTTTGGTGATGCATTTTGACAAGCAAGGTGCATTTGTTTCCTACTTTGTTAGTCGAATTCAATAAATCATATATACAAGCTAATTGGCATCTTACTAATATATATATATATATATATATATATATGCAGTGCCACCTGCATATTATGCTCACCTGGCAGCCTACCGAGCTCGATTCTACATGGAACCAGATGTCCATGATAATGTGTCAATGCATGGCACTCGCACAATGAATAAATCATGTGTCCGGCCCCTACCTGCATTGAAAGAGAAGGTGAAGAATGTGATGTTTTATTGTTAGAGAAAAAGAAAATAGGAAGAAATGGGAGAGAGATTTGTACATGATTTTGTGTTCATATTGTAGAGAAATGATGCACCATGAATTTTTCTAGTCTGTCAGACAAATCTTTGCCCCTTCAGTGTGTTTTATAAAGGAACTACTTTTGAGCTGTAGAGTTTTTAGATGCATATGATCAATATAGATCCTTTTGCCAATATTGCATTTTCTTTGGCAAGTTAACCTTTTTTTTTTTTTTTTGTTTGGCACATATATTATATGATCATATATATATATATGCTTTTCACAACTGTAAATTATTTTTGGAAATAGTCTAATTACTTTGACATAGGACACCCGAGTAAAATCATGAAGAAGCTGTGCCGGTGGTCCACAAGTGATGAGTGGTGACCACAGATCATACAATTATCTGCTAAATATATATTCGTAGGGCACACACAGTAAGTAAATCTCTTGAAAACTGTAGGAGGCCTGTGGAACCAAAATGCACGTCCTTTTTTTTTCTCACTTTTGTTTCACCAGACCCCCTTTATTACCACATTTTTCTTTTAGGATTCTATTCGTAGTATGAATTGTCACCCACCTTTGACAACCCCATCAAACCTTAGCTATGTATTTACAATCTAAGTCATACAATTTTTCTCAACAGTCGCTCACATTCTTACTCAAATTATCACTGTTCATGACTTAATTCTGCCGCTCTCACACTCCCGCTCTCAAATTTGCTCTCGCTCTCGCAGTGTCGCTCCGGCTTCCACTTGACTTAGTTTACACTTGCTTTAAAATAAATATATAAAATAATAAAAATTCGATCCTCAAGTTTTTAACTGATGAAAATGCATAATCCAATCCCTTTTTTTCTTTTTCTTTTTTTTTTTAATTTTTTGGCCTAGCCAAGTGACTCATCAGTCCTCACTATTTTACTGGAGAGAGTGTGTGTTTGAGGAACTCGTTGTATCGCTGTCGACATGTGAAAGAAAGAGAATCGACACATGAACATGTACCTATAGGTTGGGGTAAGCAAGGCCCATATGGTAGTGGTCCGGCCCTCTGACACATTGTGGGCCACTGTTTGGTCAGGAGTTACGGGAACGCCCACACGTGAATCAATCCGTTGAAAATCCATACAAGCCCACAGCTCCCGTCTAGTGGACCCGTTTCGTGGGCCCACCTTTTTCTGTCCGATCATCGGCTCTTCTTCTGCTCCTCAGCCTTGAGCCATTTTTTCTTTTTCTATTTTCATCAAATTAAGAAGAAAAAAAAATTATTCTTAAGAAAATTAAGGAAAAATAAAAAAGACAAAATACTGAATTCAAAAGACGGCTATTATTTATCAGTTTTATATATTACCTTTATAACAACATGCTAATTTGCGATAAAAAAAAAAAAAAGGAGTTCAATGAGTAGTTCGATTTAAATCGCCTGTCAAATCAAATGTGAAAAATTAAAGTAAATAAATTATTAAAGACTCTCTAACAGCACACACATATATGAAAATCCAACTAACCAATTTCAAAATCTTTATTGGCTCAATTGAAATTGATTTAACAATTTAGATGTATTCTTTTTTATTCAATAATTCATTAGCTAGAACAGAATTTTGATAAATTTTACTAAATTAAATAAATATATATGTGTGTGTGTGTGTGAAGCTGAATCTATCAGTACTCTAGTTGGTAATATAGTAAATTTAGGTTGAACTGTGATAAGAAGAGAGATAAAGGATAGTCACAGAGATGCAGACTGGACAGACCCCTCATGTGACCATGCACCATTTTCTGCAGCTCATTATCACATAGATGTGTCCCTTCTCTTTAATACAAAAATCATCAGCACCCAAAAATAGAAATCATCATTAACAATAATTTTGTAGTTTGCTTCAATACACACACACACACACACACACACACACGTATGTGTGTATGCATGTGACAATTGGCAATTTGTAAGCTATTTTAGTGTCTATTCAAATTTAAGTGAGATGACTCTACAAAGTTGCTCAATTTGTTTTCTTAAGCACCAATTAATGAATTAATAATATGGTCCACTTCATTAAAAGAGAGTTAAACACAGGGATCAAAATCACTGCAACAACCAACATTTTGTCTCTCATGAAAATGAGTAAATTACACTAAAGTCTATGAAGTTTGGATAAAATATACCTAAGTGAACCATCAATATTTATTATTTTGATTTCTCTTTAAATTTGATGTTTCAACCACATCCAAGTGTATTCCTTTAGATCAACCTATTGATTAAATTTTATAAAATGATAATTCTACCATTTCTTTGTATAAAATATTAAAAGTAGTGATACTTGTACCGATTTATTACAATAAATTATATAACCCAATTTTTTTTAATTAGTTATTTATACACAATACAAGTGGAGGGTCTTATTTCTTTATTTATTACACAAATGACCAATTAAAAAAAGTAAGTCTGACAATTCACTATAATAAATTCATACAAATATTATATGATATATTATTATAATTAATATAATAACATTATTAACTTTTCACGTCTAAAAATATTTTTGAATCATTGACGAACAAATGTTAAAAATATCAAAATAATAAATGAGCAACCGCAAAATCTATTGTATTACTATTGAAACACATGAAATATTGATATTTCATTAATTTTCTTGGAATCACCTTTATTTTGATCTGACCCCAATGCTACCTGATTTAGATGTGCCTTAAAAGGAATGACGTACAAAATTGGTCAAGTGTTAGGTAAAACCTACAACTTCCAGTACTACTTATTTCATTGATTTCAACAACTTCACCAAGTTGTGTGTGTGTGAGTTTTTTTTTTTTTTTTTTTGGGTTAAATAATACTAACACACTGTATATTCCTGATAAAGCATTGATTTTTGGCTTCACTGCTAACACTCTATGTACCTCATAAGCATCAAAAACAGTAACATTAGATTCTTATATTATAGTATGTATGTAGTGCTTTAGACTCATTAATGGAAAATTTTGCAGTGCGTACAATTCAAACCTAGGAAGCATCATGTAGGCATTAGGTTGGGTGTGTGAATCATATATTTTTCTTAATGTAACAGATTAATGGTTAAGAGTGGGTGAATATTATTCCCTGATTGGTCACATGGTGGCTGTAGCATTTCTTAAACCTCAACAGGCAGAAGTGAGAATTATTTTTGGTGAATTATTATTACCTTCTAAATCAGTAGAATCATGTCATGCATTTCTCAATATGCATTCTCAATTATGATTGACGCTTTCAGATGTAGGATGTCAATGGGATTATGGGATGGGTTCACGGGACACTCTTTTCCAAACTCATCTTACCATTGAAATTTTTTTCCTAAACCCGATTTGGTACTCTGCATCAAATTCAGTGCGGGTTTGGGGCGGCACGAAATATATATTTTTTAAGAAAATAATTTAAATTTGAACAAATTTAAGATAAATTTTATAAAAAAATATTTAGTAGAGTCAATTTTTCAACAATTATAATAACAAAAAAGTTCTTAAGATTTAAAATTATCATAAGAAATAGAGAAAAATATATATATAACTAATAAAAGAATATTTATTACATATTAATTATTAATCGGGTCGGGTGCGGAACTTAAGCTCTCTTTTAAAATCTACCCTTAATCTAATTAGGATATTTACAAACTCGTCCCAATAGGAACGGAACAGACGGGATAAATTGACATCTTATTCGGATGATACCTACTACAATATACAATTTTATGGTTTAGGTTTGACTAACCTACCCCTCGGAGTAAAATTAATGTGCCGCATACATGAGCTAGTTGGAAAAGATTTTTTATTTAACAACTAATAAATAATCCTGTCCAACTATATATTTTGAAGTTTGCATGGTTACACATATAAAATAAACTCATATTGTTTTATTTTACATTTTTTTGCATGCATTGATCATCTAAGAACTGTAGATAATCTGAGAAGGTTTTATCTTTTGAAGTCAAAGACATATGGCATTTCAATTCATCATATATCAAACAATATCTGTAATTGACCTGATCGATCATATCAAAAGTTCGACCTCTCCTCAAATCTCATACTTGTAAGTTGTAAGGAAGCATGTTTTTGTATCTGTAACACAAATCTTTTGCAAAATATATGGAGTCCATTCACATACTAAAAACAAAAAAAATATTACTAGTCATAGTCAATCTCTCCTTGTAAGTCTCAGAAATTGAAATTCCAATTTCAAGACATCCATCATGTTGGTAATTGATGGTCGATCTTCTTCAACATGCGTATTTATCCAGAAACATCTAATTGATGGTTTATTCCGATATATCCAAATGCTTTTGTAAAGTGTACCTTTGATGGGTCCGAAATTTCCTTCAGTTGCTTAAACGTACAAGAAAAATCATATCTAGTGCGCGCACTGATATCATCGAGCATTAAAAATCAGATTTGAATCTTTTTTGTGCAGTACTTCCAAACCTGTCAATGTACGCTCTACTGTATGATCATAATTAATACTATCCTTTAACAACACTCACTATCTAGTGGGATTTTTAAACACATGTTAGTTCATAATTATTCTATCAAAACTACTAGAATTCAGATTAATCATGAATAGATTAGAAGATGCAAATTATAAGTGGAGACGAAAAGAAGGAAGCACTTTTCCTAAAGTAATATCACATTCAAGTGAAGGTAAGAAGAAAACTGTGACAAAAAAAAAAAAAAAAACAAACAAAAAAAAAAAAAACCGAGTCGACGACAGAGCCAGTTACAGATTTTACAACACCATTATTGTACGTGATGATTTAGTATCATAGTACCAAGTGGAGGGTTTGGGTCAGGCATGGCTTCCCAAGCCGAAGCCGCAATGAGAGGCCGACTATGCCACCCCAGCGTCAGACACCCTTTATTCTCTTCCACACAATACCCCTCAGCCGAAAACAGAGTCAGCAACATACTGGCTTGCTTGAATGCATTTGAACCCAAGTGCAATGCTCTGAACCCAGCTCCACCAAGCCGACCCCTCCACTGGGCTAACGGCTCATGTCTCTCCACCCTTGCCAAACCTTCACAACACACCACATTACATATCTCCCTCTGTATGTATATCTCGGCCAAGGCTTTTTCCAGCTGAGCTGAACAAGCCTCAAGCGAGTCGAACATTGTTGAATAGTAATACAGAGCTTCTGTGAACCGCTCCAAGAATCCGGGTTGGTTGTGATTTGCTTCTTGCTCCACAACCGTCATTATTTTCGGATTCAAGTTCCGGATCCATCCGAGAACATTGTCGATCGGGGACCCGGGGATGGAGTCGTCCGACGCTAGTAGCCGATGGAGCTGCATGATGGAATTCACAGCCACAGCTTCTCTTGGGTTCACTTGTAACATCCACGGCTTCACGTCATCGAGCCGTGAAGCCGCTACTCCACGAAACGTGAACCGGACGTTGACGGATCGGGCTAACTCGGCCAGTCGTAACCCGATTTCCCTAAGCGAATCACGACCGTCCGGTGATGGTGGACCAATGCCGGTCAATCGGAGAAATGGTGGCCCACCTGGACGTAGGGCAAGAGCCTGTATCAACGCAGGCCATTGCAGACCGTGCATCAAATTGAAGTCAATGACGTGGACACAATCATGACCCTCAAATGCTTCTAAGATGGCTTGATTCGCAGTGAAATGAGCGAATTTTAAGTAGGGACAAGCTTCATAGAAGTGATGATAAAGTATCTCATTTTCAAAAGCCGAGCCGATTGCGGCGACCCCTTGCGGCGCAAATAGCCGGCAGCTCAGCGCGTCGATGAAGTAGCCGGCGACTTTGCCGATGCCACATCCGGAGTTCACACGTGTCAGCAAACCCTGCATTTCCTCAATCAATGAACCAGCCAGTGAGAACTCCCCACGGTGGACTGACTCCGCACACGTCAGCAAAACGTGTACTAGCCGGATACCGGAATCTTCCTCCATCGCCGTTAACTGTTGAGGAATATCCTGCTGGGGTTGCTGAGGCGCATGATGGTCCGTCCACGCGTTTGTATCTGCCGTCTGATTTACAGCGGGTCCCGCCACGCTTTCGACGTAAGTAAGATCCGAGTACTCCGATAGATCCGATGGCACTGTTACCGGGACGGGTCGATTGAGTTCGGAGAGCAATGAGTCGACCCAGGAGGCGAGGTCCGAAGGGTTGTAGTGAACGGCGTCGTTTGCGAGATGAGTGATTTGGGTAGGGGCGTTGACCATGACAGTTTCGAGGCGTTCGAGACGCTGTGCGACCTGACAGAGCTCCGACGACCGGACCTCGTACCCGGCTCCGGCAAGGAGGCCGTCGATCTGATCCGGTGGTTTGCCGGCGCATGATGATGAGCTCCCACTGCTGCTGCCGGCTGAGATTGAAGAGTCATAGGGGCCCATTTTGATAGATTTTGCACCGTCTGATTCAGAATCATGAGAGTGCGACTTCTGGGTGGGTTCTGATAATCATCCCTAGTCCCAGTTTAGAGATGGAGAGAAATAGGAGTTAGAGAGAAAGAGTCTGTAGAAAGGAGAAGTTAGAGAGTGTGTTTACAAGTGGGAAGTTAAAAGTGATGAGTGAAAGAGAGAGGAAGATGGACTTTGATGTGTACATAGAGAGAGAGAGAGAGAGGAGAGAGTGAGCTGTGCCATGAATCATGTACATTACCATGAAATGTAACTATCTATACTGAAAATTAGTTTATTTTTTTCATATTTCTTTGAAATACCCTTTATTTAATACGGAGCATTTTGAAATACGCATTCATTGAGCTGCCGATCTTAATTTTTTTTTTTTTACCGTCTCTCATAATTTTTGGACCAATACACAAATCACACACTTATAAGTTTATAACCTTTTTATTTTTTTATTTTTTTTACGTATGTAAATTTCTCACTTAAAATTATTGTTTCAAGAGCATCAATATCATGCAATTTTATTAACTACCACTGTAATAAAGCGTGGCATTTAGATCCAGGAGTACTTGGATCGAAAAGTTTTCCATTTTAATTCATCTGACACTTTTGGCAAAGGGGTAAAGATGGGAATTTTAATAATTCATGATGTATATATATATATATATGTATGTATATTTGTGTGTGGGCAGTTTCATAGAAAGAGGGCTGGGTGATGGACCACTTGATGTGGACATCAATGCAAAGCTTTCAACACAAAATGGATTTAATATCTTAACCTGAAAATGACCCTTAAAATAATATAATTCATGCCCTAAAATGATTGAGTAAAAATAAATGATTAATTAGATCAATAAACAATTCAGTTTCTTGAGTATAATAAATCTATATATTTAAATTTTCAATTTTGTGTGAGCATACATATGCAACCAAAGCAAGAGCCCAAATTATTTCTCACTGCAATTCGACAATTTTTAAACATTTATTTTTAAATTGGATTTATTTTAATCTTCTGCATTAACTTACGAACAATCAATTCCTCTCAATATGTATATATTCATTACATATATTTATATTTTTTAATAATCATACAGAAATAACACACATGCAAGCATTTGAATAAGAAATATACAATTAAAATGAACTCACCCAAATGGTTTAGCTTTGATAATTACTACGTACTACCCATGAGGTCGTCCTTACAGTAGTATTACTTTATTTTAAAGAAATTAGGTATTGATGAGACCACTGAGTACTGATGAGTAGTACTGTTGACACAGATAGAAAATGAAAGATTAGTTTGTTGGCATAAACAATTAATGTGTATGTCCATGAAGGTCGTCATACGCAGAAGAGCATAGAAATTTTGGGAAAAGCCGGGGACGCGAAAAGTCTTAATTAATTGATCTAACGACTTTACTTTCTCTACTAAATAAAAAACATTTGTGATCATATAAATGTGTGTGTATATATGTGTGTGTGTGGTGGGGTCAGGGGTGGGTCATACACAAGTACCTTCTGGTCTGTCACATGAAACCACAATACCAGAGACCAGAATACCAAGCAGCTTTCACAGTACTTACTGACTGACTTCACCTACAGAAAACTAATGCGCGCATTGGGAAGCACTTGATCTCATCGCACAGTATCAGTATGTCCATAAAAAGCCTTCCATCCATGACATTATATTGGTGAATATTCGGCACCGAGACATGTATCGTGGAAAGACATCATCAACACATGTCATTGTAATTGCTACACACCCCTCAATAATCTTATCCAAAATATATAATTTATCCAAAATAATAAAATGTTAATACTCCCTCTGCTCATAATAGATATCATTTGCGGATGGTAGAATTTTTTAAGGAAACGTATAATTATTGCATTATTTCTTTTATAAATTATAAAATTATCCTTTCAAATTTAAATATATATATATATATATATATATATATGTAATCAAGTTTAAATTTTATTGAAATTTTAAAAGTATTTTATGAAAATATGTGAAATATGTTGTTTAAATTTAGTAAGTAGACAAGTAATTTAGAACAACTCAAAAAGAAAAGATGGACAATTATTATAGGACAGAGGAAGTATATACGGTATATTACGGAATACTATATATATTTTACATGTAAAAAGTTCTTACAAGGGGATTCACCTTAAGATCGAGTCGGGAATTCTCTACTATAATGCTTTGTGAGTCATTAGATACCATACACACGTGTTATGTGTTGTAAGTCGTTCGATGAACTGCACTGCATCCCAACATGTTACCATCAACTTTCTTGGGGGCAGAATATCCAACGGCTACAAAGAGAGCTCATGGGGAAACCTGGTATCCCTTGTAATTCCTAATTACATAGGTACTAGTATATATTATATATATATGTATTCAACATCATGTTGAATTGACAGCGGACTAATATGCGTGCATGTTGATATAATTGAGAAAGAATGAGTTTATTTTTTAATTCTCATATCCCTAAGCTGAATATAAAATGAAAAGTTGATCAGACTGGGCAAAGATTAAGGTTAATTAGGTCATGCAGGATCTCCTTTCATTCTTAATATATATATATATATACACACACACATACATATATATATATATCCTCCAGGCTCCCTTGTAACGCTTCTAAATTATATGGACATATATTTAATAGTCCAATGAGTCAATTCCAGATATGGGTCATCTTCGTAATAGTATTAAACTATTAATTCTTCTGATTTATTTATTTATTTATTTATTTTGGTGATTCGGATGTTTGGGTTAAAGTGAAGCATTAAAGCAACAATGACCACACATACCTTCCATCTTTTCTTTCAAACTATTGTCTGATTACAAACTTTCAACAAATTTATGTGCATTTTACCTCCATATGTATGTATGTATAAATATATATATGTTGGTGTAGCTAGTTATAATTAAGTTCGGTAAAAAAAATTCAGATTTCCACATTGATTGATCTTTTAAATTATTTTTAAGAGAAAAGGACTTGTAACAAAAATATATGGATATAAACTATAGTTTTAGGATGAATGTTGTAAATTTGTGTGCAAGACAAATTGTCATTGACAATGCATTATACTATTGCGATCTGGAAATCTCTTTTTGTAAGTTGCTTTGGTGACAGCTAGTTGCATTCATGATTTATTTATCAAATATATATTCAAAATATTGGCCATTAATAAATAGTGGGAGAGAAATAGGAAAAAGAAAGAAAAGAATGGTGTTTGCCCAATTAGGTAAAGGTGATGTGGTCCATGAGGAAGCTATGAAAAAAGAGTGTGAAAACTAGCGAATATGAAGACGCTATGATTGGGACACGTAAGCTGTGGTTGGAATCAAACCATCAGCTTTTCTTTATACAAGTGTGGTATCAAAGGGCGGGTAGTGGGAAGTTGGGACCAGCATTCCCTTAGAGAACATGTTGTGTTCGGGACAGACAACCCTAATGAACACGTCCATTCCGTTCTTTTAGCTGACACTATCACGTTATTGCATCCCATGACCATACATATATATATATATATATATATATATTATAGACAGATAGAGAGAGAGATGCTCCGGAGATAATTGGGCCTTGGGTTGTTTGGTCCCAAAACGAGAAAAGGTGGGTATGGGTGGTCCAAGACACTACTACTTTACCTTTTCACAAGTTGGCTTTAACAAACTTGTGGTGTTTGTTATGAACCCAATTTCAACACCAAATATTCATACATATCTAAATAGTTACCCCACAGTGTTTAAAACAAAATCATAATATTTTTATAGGATTGAGAGTTGCGCGGATTGGGCAGGCCAACTGATGAGCCCATGCCAACTCCAACGTACTGAAGTTTGCGCCAAACTCAAGTTTGGAGAAATCAATTATATCTCACAACCCAATAGACTTTCAACAAAAATAGATAAATAAATGATAAAATACATGCATTAAAGTATTGAAACTATATATACATGTTGGAAAATTATATTTATTGCAACAATGTCCCAACACTCACAACTCCTTTTAGAGTCTATTATTAAAGTCCCGTTTAGCATACGTTTTGTTCCTACTGTTTTTGTTTTTTTGATTGCTAGTGTTGAATTTGGCAACAAAAGCATGTTTGTTGCATCCCTAGTTTATTTTACACAATGCTAAAACACTTCGTAAACAGTAGCCCACACCAAAAAAATTATTTTTTTCTTATTTTGACAATTGTTGATGGTCCAAAACCATAACAGTAGTGCAACACAGGCCAAAAATAAAACGCCTAAAATATCATTCCCAAACGTGTTTTTGACTTTTTTTCAAAACACTCCAATAGCAAAAATACTATTTCTGTTTCAGCCAAAAGTAAAACGCCTAAAACAAAACGCATGTCAAACGGATCCTAAATAATGATATGTCACAACTCCCTTGTGAGTGTTGCAAGGGTGGCCTATCCCCACTAATAGCAGGCTCCATGCACGTTTGATATCGAGTATTATAAATTTTAACATTTTCTTATGTATTAAGTCTATGCAATAAGGAAGAAAGTCGAACTAGAATTCTAGAACCAATTTTGTAATAGTGCAGTTGTGGACTTGTAGTAGTGTTGAGGTTAAGCCTCGAACTTAGAGAAATATTTTCCTCACATAGACAAGTCCCAACTCTAAGAATCTCAAGAACTTCTTCGACCTAAAGAGTTAGAAAGGGACACGGTATGAGAAACCCATCTCTTAAAATAGTGCAACAAGATCTATATTTTTCTTGTACAAGAAAGATTCATTTTGAGTTTATTGAAATGATGTCTATAACATGCCAACAACAAAAATATTACTCCTACATACCCACTAATGCAATGCTTAGCATACCATATGACGGATATATTACATCATCAATTAGTAGCCGTCTGATTCAAATTGACAATTTTGATCAGGACAAGGTGAGGCCAGAGGAGAAGCTAATTCCAGCCATGTTTGAGCCCTTCATATTGCACTCCGGGATTGGGACCCAAGTCCAATGTCTCCACACTATATCATAACATAGCCATATTATATCCCATATTCCCTCAAAGTTAGACATCAGAACAGCCCTAATCTTTCCATCTCTCTCCTCCAAACACCCAACTATAACTCCATAGGGCTTCTTTATCTTCTCAATTACTCCACTTGGAACTTTTGAAAGGAACTCCCAGTGCCTCCCATTTGAGCTCAAGCCCCACAATTCTACACCCTTTAACAACCTTGATCTTTTATTCACATCATCACCACCATCCGATCTAACGATCATCATGTTCCCATCACCGTACACGAGTAACCTATCAATCACGCTCCCCCAACTCAATCCGACGGCCAGTTGCCCCTCCTCATTCCCTTCCAAATCGAATCTTGGCCGTACAAACACCGGTGAGTCGCTTTGTGATGGAAGAGCAAGTATAACACTTTCGTTCCTCCCATTCATTGCACTAAGGAAAATAACGTGATCCCCTCTCCAACTGCCACGTGGCAAATCTCCAACATTTTCTCTTGCTTCCATAGACCCCCACTTGTCAGTATCCGAATTGTATTCGAATAGAATCGGACCATTTTCGTGCATTTCAGCAAATAAAAACCGAAAATGACCCGAGCCTGAAGGGCCACATAGTAATTTCATACTGGACCGACGCCACGAAGATGTGCCACGTGGTCCTAGTGGACTTGGAGGGAGCTTTCTGACCGTATTGTTCATGGGATTAACTGAAATAACTTCCCGACTAGTGTTCAAGGCAAAAAGAAAATAATTACCCGAAGCCGTCAAAAGAAAGAGATCTTCCCCAGGAGAAACAATAGAGTTCAAAATTCCGGCTATCGAAATCTTGAACCATCGATCAGACTGGTCGGTGAAGCCGTGGAGTACCGATAAACGACTCCATCGCTTTTTGTAAATGAAGAGCCAATTGTATAAATTTGATTGCATATTGTACTCGCGAATAAAATTTTCATCTGAAGTAATGGAGTCGATGGATTTACTGATGGATTTTAATCGCACAATTTCAGGCAAAGCTAAATTGAGGATTATGTATTGTATGAGCTCCGATGGAAGGAGGCAAAAACCAACAGTGGTGGAGCTCTGGTGACACTCCACTTCGGAGGACAAGGGCATGGTGCAAGTTCCTTTTTTTTTTTTTTGGTTTTTTGGGTAATTATCCGAATTGGGGCATTGGCTGGCATTATATTGCGACAGTTTCTTTGGCTTTTGTTGACGTTACTAATTATTAATCTATTGTTAGTATAATAATGTTATAAATTAATGATAAATCAACGTCAACAAGCAGAAGACAAACCTTCCGACGGTGCATCCTATGTGGATCCGTCGTCATGGTCGGGGAAATGGGTGGTGGAGATGTTGGCATACCATTTTTGCAAAAACTTTGACATAGATTGGTACATAGTGATTAGTATTATGTATACTAATAATAGATTATTAAAATTTATTATAAATAGCCTAATACTACTTGGTTTGCTGAGTGTATTAGAGTATCCAGAATGAGGCATGCGAGCATTTTATAAATATATTTCTGGACTGTTGGGAGCGGCCTGAAGTGGACTTTTTGTTTTAAATCCATTAATGTTGCATTTGGGTACTTTGGAAGCATCAAATTAACATCTTTGAGATTAAAATTGGAGGAAAAAATAGTTTAAACTGGAAGGTGATTGAAATGGACTCTTTTTTAATAAAAAAAAAAAAAAAAAATTCATATTTAAACTATTTTTTGTCCAAATTGAATCTTTCAAGGTTCGCTATTCCTAAAACATAATTGTATTTGAGGAAGAGTCTATATGAATAAATCTTCTCCTGTGATCATTTTCAATTTACTACTTATGCCAGATAAGCTCGAAGAAATCTTGTAGTGGATTGGCAATTGGACCTCGAGGGGCTTTAACGTTGAGGCATGACTCATTTTACTGCATACATGTCGATACCACAGGGTTGTGTGTGTCAGGTAAACTCAGGAATAAATCACCTTGAAGGAAAAGTGACCTGAAACTTGTCATTTAGGACAATTTGGTTTTGTTTTTAGGGGTACCAATTCACAAGCATAACTCAGAAATTGGTCCTGAAGACTCTGTTTGGAAGCTTTCTATGCATGTACCAGAAAAGAGTGTTACCTTAGAAACCTGGATTCTGATTATTGGTCATTAGGAAGTTAACCTAGATTACCAAACTAGAAGAATGGCTGAACAACAGACTAGAGAACTGAAACTTGGGTCCCAGGTAGTCTAAAATTACTACTATAACTATGAGGATTTTACCGGATACGTCTGTACCACCACACTTTTCCCCTTGGAGGAAAACTGACCTGAAACTTGTCATGAGGACTGTAGGAAGTAGTGAGCAATTTGGTTTCGTTCTAGGGTTACCAATTCACAAGCACATCTCAGAGATTGGTTATCAAAACACTCTTTTGAAACTTCTATGCATGTATTAGAAGACAGTTTTAACATAGAAACCTGGACTCCATTTATTCATTAGAAAGTTTACCTAGATTACCAAACTAGAAGAATGGCTGAAAAACAGATTAGAGACTTGGGTCCCAGGTCTCCTACAAATTGGTGACTAGTAAACTTCAAGCTCTGTTACGGACTAAAAGTTGCTAATTTCTGCAGCAGTACAAGTAACCCAACAATTTCGTAAGGCATGAGAAATTAACTCACCCGGTAATTTGACAAGGATTCATACTATAAAATATTAAGGATAAGATATTCATGGAGTCTTGTTATCTGACAACAGGTTGAATTTTCTTAGAGAAAAATCTCAAAGAACAACAATTGTAAATCAATCCAAATTGTTTCCTTATGTACTGGAATTTCATTTTTTCAGGTGAAGATTTGGAGACACCATAGATGTCTCTTTATAAGTTTTACAACAATCAGAATTAAGTTATCTCACATCATCATGTGAGGCTATAGGTTTCCAATCTCAAAATAATGTATCATAGTAAAAGAATAGCTAAATTGCATCATACTACCAATCTAAAAATAATGTATCATACTACCAATGTGAAGCAAGTGTAAAAAAGGCCAGGCGAAAAGAGAACATTCAAATAATATCTCAAAATAATAATATCGTGCAAATTTAATACAGGACAGATATCTAAGTAGCTAATGATAGGCATAACTCATAAGACATATATCTAAGTAACTAATGATAGGCATAAAATTTCAAACAAGTACACTCTTGGCAGCGGCCGAAAACATTCAAAAGGAAAAACTCATACACCAGAAATTTTACCAGATATGCCCTTCTCTTCCTCATCTCCATAATTGTTATCATCATTTTCGTTGTCCAGCAGCTTAGACGTTGCAGACTCGCGTACTGATGGAGCATTGCCTACCCCAGTAACTGACTGCTGATATAGAACACCTCCTGCTATGGTTAAGAGGAGGCAAAGCAAACCAATCGGACTAGCATGCTTATCCCAAATCATCACATTGATAGCAACTGTGAGGAACTTATTAACAACACCAGTCACCGTAAACGCTGTGGCAGAGATTGCCTTCCTGGCAGCAAAGCCGAAGAAACTGATTAGCAACCCAAACACACAAGACAATGACACTGCAAAAAATGCAACCGAGTCAAACCAATTCCGAGAACTCGATCCCACAGCAGTGAATACATCAGCACACTCTCCAGTTATAATCCAAAACAAAGGAGCCATCATCAATGAGAGAAGATTGTTGTAAAACACAAACCCCCAAGTGTTCAATCCAAGATTTGTCACCATGTGTTTGATATAAACCATTTCAGTTGTGATTGTGATCAAATACGCAAATGCCCATGAGTAGGCTGTGAGTGTAAAACCTGAATCCGTGGCAACATATCCAACGGCACCACCCAAAATGATCACCAAAGAAAGGAAAGTGAACTTTGAAGGACATGGTTGTTTTCTAAACGTAGTATCGGCAATGGCAACCAAAAGGGGCGTCAAGGATCGAAAAACTATAAATGTATCGACATTGGCATGACGAAGCAAATTCGTGTTAGTAAAGATGGCTAGATAGAAGACAATTGCCGCGGGCATGAATTTCTTAGCAGTTTCAATCACGAATGGATCGTGGTGTAAAAACCCTAATTTACCTAAAACCCATACTCCTAGAGCTGAAGTTAGGTACTGCAACGCAGTTAGAAGACCAGGGTAGTTGAATTTGGTAATGGCGAACTTGTTGATCACTGCAAGCAAGCTCGAACAGAGTGCGTAGCCAATAACAAGACTGCTTGTTGCGTATACCTGCTTGGATGCATCCAATCGAATGGAAGCCATCTCTTTGTTCTGCATTTTCCCTAAATTCACTGCTAAGTCTACCGAATCTAAACGAAGTTAGGAGCTTTCGTGGATAGATTTGGCATCGATAGTCCCATTTGTGTGAGATGTTTGAAAGGAACTAAACTAATAAAGGAATTCAATGAAAATTAATAATGTAGGTGATCTGCCAAATTTGGTGCAAATGAATAGGAAAAAGTCACCAAAATTTAGCATAATCGCACTAATTTATGGCAATGTAGTAGATATTAGGAGCAAAAAGATTGCATTAATCTGCTAAATTTTGACGAATTGCAGTTGAAAAATCGAATCAGGAGGGCTAGATGAAAGGTAAACACCAACACGAAACCCTAGGTACAGAGACCAATCACCGACACAGGACTGAAAATTTTGAATAAATGAGAAAGAGATGGATAAAAACAAAGCAAGCTTTAAAGATTTTAGGGATCAAAGAAGGAACCTTATCACGTGAATCAGTCCGACTTCTCTGAAACTCTGCCCGCGATTGATTGACGAGAGAGAGAGAATGAGACGTGGGGTCGTTTTGAAATTAATTAATAATTTGTATCGTTTTATCGTTGGATTGGAGGACGCGGTGTTTACAAAACTAGCAATTGAATGTTTCTCACGAGGAAAGGTTGCATCCGAGAATTTATCAAATGTCGGACAGGAGATATTTTATGCCCAATACGTGTGTTATTTTCTGTGTTTGTTTTGTGCTTGATATCTACTGTATAATTTTGAGAGTAACAGCTCCTGTCGTTTCTCGTAAGAAAGTTTTGACCATTTTTTATTTTTTTAAGTTAGATTCAATAAATAATATATTTGATTTATACTGTGAGAGTTTATGACTCTTATCAAGGGAGGATTTAAGTAAGTAAATAGGTTAATGGATCAAAATGATCCGATTGAATTAGTCGAATATGAATTGAATAAAAAATTTGATAATTCAATTAGGATTTGAATCCGACCATAATTAGTAAAATACGATATGGGTAAAATAGGGCACGAAAACGTACAAGTATAATTTGATATTTTTTTTAAAAAAAACGAAAACGTAAAAATATGAATACAGATGCGTACATGTATAATACATTATATACACTAAAAATTCAGGACAAAAAATTCGACTATACACATTTTATTATTTTCTTATATATCATATATTTGTAAGGAAAATGAATAATAGGTAACAAATAATAAAATAAATATATTACAATTATCACAATAATCATAACAGAAATAAACTATCTAAATATAGTTAATTAATAACCATACGTTCATAACATGATCAATTCATCACAAAATTAATGAAAAAAATTATAGTTCAATTAATCAATTATGTTGCCTAAATAAAAAATAAAATGCAGCTGCTTAAACCTCTTAGGACACTTTTGAACAAATTTCAATATCTTTACATTTTATCCTGGATAAATGTGATTTGACTATTGAAATACATCCATGATAGTTAGAGTTTTGTTCAACATGATCCCAAAATGCATCCTTTTTTTTTTTTTTTTTTTCATTTTTCCTTGATAAGCCTATATACTTATAATAAATGCATAAGTATATGGTGTGATATTCGTGAAAATATCTTTATATTCTACTAAAACATCTAGTGAATGTGGTGATTTACAAACTTCCAAAATAATAATAATAATAATAATAATAATAAAAGATACTAAGAAAATTTAAAAGATCTCAAAATAAAACAAAAAATTTATAAATGTCTACAAATATCAATAAAAATCTATGATTTTTCAAGATTATAGTGTACCACAAAGTATATATGTGTGTGTGTATTTTATTACTTTAATTAAAGATCAAGCATTGGATTGACAATAATAAGAGATTAAAAAAAAAAAAAACAGATTGATTGTAAAACAACTAGGTGGTCACAGCCTTTCTCGAGATTGCACAACAAATAGTATTATTTTGATGATGTGAAAGAGAATGGCTATACTAAACAAAATACGATAGTTTGTGTTAAAAATGTGTGTCTAAAAAAATACACAATTAAAAACAAGGTTACCCTAAAGTATAAACATGAATTAAATGGAGCAACCAAAACGAATAAACGCATTACATACGGGATGATGAAAAAAAACGCATATTTTACCGTATCTTTCAACTCTAATCGGCAAATGAAAGTATTTTTTCAAAATTCGTACGTACGCATTTAGTTCGCGTATCATAAGTTTGCGAATTTACTAACTAGAAAGCCGACAACTCATTAGCCTAACAAATTAGATATGAATTGTGTTGATTAAAAATAAATAATTAATTAATTATATATATATATATACACACACTCTTTGTTTAAGAGATAACGAAAAAAAAGAAGAAAAAAGTAATCATATGTTATATGTACAATAGTGTGGCGTTCTCATATTAATAAATTTCTTAATATACATTATATAATACTAATAATGTCATCGTATTTATTCATTAAAAAGAGTAAATGATCTATTTTTTCTTTCTTTTCCTTCCATATTTTATTTATCTTTTATTTTTTATCATTTTTTCTAATTATTAATTTTTATTCTCTTTTGACATTAATTTCTTTTCTTTTTATATTAACAAACAACACCTTTACCAGATCGGATCGGAATGTTGAATCAGATATCCATTTATTAACCAATTGAATATAAATTCACTTACAAAATATATATATATATATATATATATATATATCGTCGGATTATCAAATCAAGTAAAAGGCTTATTATATTAGGATTGAACCAGGCCAGATCTGGCCCGAATCCGATCAGTTGACAGGTCTACTCAGGGACAGACCTATGTTTGCCCCCTTAAAACAAAAATTCACTATTATGCCTCATTATTTTGTCATTTAGATATATATATTTACAAAATATTACATTTGCCCCCCTGAAATTATTAAACATATTCAGTATTACCCCCTCACTTGAGTTTCTGGATAGTCTACTCTCAAAAGCATTACTCTAATTTTGATTTGCGGATGCAACAGCTATGTAAATATATTTAATAATGTTATAACATTACTTTAAAAAAGAAAAAAGAAAAAAAAAGGAAGAACCTACATGAGAAAGACATCTGAAATAAGTCGCTTCATAGGCTACTTGATTCGCCGATCTTAGAACCCATTTAAGAGATAACTCTTGACCTTCAAGAACTAAAATCTTAACATCATCCATAATAGAGTACATATTTTCCTTTAAAATTCATCACGGGCTGAAAGTTCCCTACGATCACCACCTTGGAAAGACCCCAACTATGACAACTTAGGACAACTGATCTTAGAGCAAGACCTTCATCCACTGAGGCTGATCCCACGTGAGGAAATAAAACTGACACCATTCAAATGAGGTGACTTTCTCGATTTCGGAGGATCAGACCCTTTTATGCCAGCCTTTGAACTCAAAAAATAAAAAAAGGTTTAATTTAAGGAAGCCTTTGGCGAGAGGGAAGGCGGAGGGGGGGGGGGGGGGAGCATCTGTTTGGAGTAGATTGGAGAGGGCTTGCATTTTGAATTTAGACAATTGTAGACATTAAAATTTCATGAGCTTTTCCTTAACTAATTAATCCATCAAATATGGGTCTCATATCTTCTTAAATTATTTAATTGATCAAAACTTAGTTAACTTAAATTATTTAATTAGTCCACCACAGTTAGTTAAAAAGATGGCTATTTTCTTTTTTCCTTAATTGGTACTCACACACACATGTCTCCACCGAGACTCGAACCCTTGACCTCTCTTTGGGAAGTAGGAATCTGGTACCACTAGGCCTGTTGGTAAAAGATGACTACTCTCAATAAAATATATTTAGAAATAATTATTTTAATAGATAATTAGCACAATATAATTGGCTCGGCCCAGTTATAATCGTGTCCTTATCAAGAAATGACATATGTCATCATCCTATCCATCCAATAAGTTTATAAATAGGGGCATGGAATAAGGAAAATTGGAGCAAAAGTCCAAGAAATTTGAGAAACTCAGAAATTCAAAAGTCCAGAAATTCAGAGGGATCCATAAGACTCAGAGAAAGAGAAGATTCAGAGAATACAAAACCTTTGTCAAGCTCAACATTCTCTCAACATCCAAGCCTTAAAGAACAACAACAACATATACATTCAAAATCATGTCATTCTTCCTCAAATTCAACAAAAGATGAAGAACAATAAACACATCAAAAGTCTTGTCGTTCTTCCTCAAATCAACAAATTCTTTGACGACGAAGAATAACAAGCACATCCAAAGTCGTGTCGTTCTTCCTCAAATCAACAAATTATTTAATGACGAAGAATAACAAGCACATCTAAAGTCGTGTCGTTCTTCCATAAACTTAACAAAGAATAACAAGCACGTCAAAATTGTGCCATTTTTTTCTTTGCGATTCAATAAGTTTGAAGAATAACCAAACAACACTGTTCGAGATTAAGTTTCGTCAAATCTAGATAAGAAATCATCAACTATCTTCCTTAACTACAAATACTTGAAGAAGATTGTCAACAATCCGATTCAAGATCAAGCTCCAATAGCCCTTAGATCCAACCAACAAAGAAGATCGAATCAGAGGATACTTTATTTCTTTTGTAAAGAATACCTTAGAGAATTGTACTCGAATTTTTATAAATTAATAAATTATTATTTACTCCTTATTTTATTTTCTAATTTACAGATACAAAATTTGTGTGCACAACAACTACATCTGAATTTCCTTTACTTCCATAAAATATTGGATGGCTCGATCCACAATACAGTGAGGCTTTAAGAACCTCGAATTAAATTCCATATCAATTTGTGTGTCAGAAAAAATATTTGCTTAAATTCCTTCTCAAGTCTCCAAGCAGTTTTAGTTAACAAAGTCAAGTTGAAAGCTTCGAGGTTCCAAAAGCCCAATTTTAGTTATATTATTACGATATGTTGTAATAATATATTATATGAACATTTTATATTCCATATAAATATATTGCATAAATGTTATACTATGTGATTTTTGTTATATATTAATGGGGCCCACAAGTATGCAAATGAATTGTAGGCTACAATTTGTAGAATTAATGATTACAGCAAAGTGACACAAGTATATTACTTAATCTGTATGCAAGTGGTAATGCTATTTGTAGGCTGGCACGCATTACAAAGAAACTTTTATCATTTGCAGTATGGGATCAATCTATCCCACTTGTGCTAGTTGGCAAAAAATGCTATTTCTCATCCTATAAATATGGATCATATTGTATCACTGACTTCATACTTTGAACGAGAATAAGAAAGAAGTTCATTTTTCTCTCAAATGTCTCTCTTTGTTTCTTTGATTGTGTATGAATATATTTATTCTTATATTTATAACAAGTTATCAGTCCGAGCTCCAACCATCTAAAACTTGAAAAATAAGTTATTTTTTTCTCTTTCTATCTCAACTCTATATATCTATTTTGTGATATTAGTTTTGATAGATTGTTGGGTTTTCTTACTTTATTGAAGAATATTGTATTTCTCATTCTAAAGGGTAAGAAAATTTTATTTATTTCCGCCTTTATTATTTAATGATCGGTCTAACCGCCTTTATCAATTAATGATTTAATGGCCAGTTTCACCGTATTTATTGCTTAGATTATAATAGTTCTGTGATTTTTTTTCGTTGCCATATTTGTGAGGAACTAAAAACTGAATACCTCACTGAAAGAGATCCA